GAGCTACAGTATTAAAAACAGCTTGGTATTGGCATAAAAACAGAGAAGTCGACCAATGGAACCGTATAGAAGACCCTGACTTTAATCCACAAACCTATGAGCAACTGATTTTCGATAAAGGAGCTAAAACTATACAATGGAAAAAAGAGAGCATCTTCAACAAATTGTGCTGGCAAAACTGGATTTCAATCTGTACAAAAATGAAAATAGATCCATGTCTGTCACCATGCACAAAACTCAAGTCCAAGTGGATTAAAGACCTCAATATCAGTCTGAACACACTGAACCTGATAGGAGAGAAAGTGGGAACTACACTACAACAAGTGGGCACAGGAGACCGCTTCCTACGTATAACATCAGCAGCACAGACAGTAAGGGCCTCATTGAATAAATGGGACCTCATGAGACTGAGAAGCTTCTGTAAAGCAAAGGACACTGTCGCTAAGACAGAAAGGCAACCCACTGACTGGGAGAAGATCTTCACCAACCCCGCAACTGACAAAGGTCTGATCTCCAAAATATATAAAGAACTTAAGAAACTAGACTGTAAAAGGCTAATCAACCCAATTATAAAATGGGGCACTGAGCTGAACAGAGATCTCTCAACAGAAGAAGTTCAAATGGCCAAAAGACACCTAAGGTCATGCTCAACTTCCTTAGCGATCAGGGAAATGCAAATCAAGACAACTTTAAGATACCATCTTACACCTGTCAGAATGGCTAAAATCAAAAACACCAATGATAGCCTATGCTGGAGAGGTTGTGGAGAAAGGGGTACACTTATCCATTGCTGGTGGGAATGCAAACTTGTACAACCACTCTGGAAAGCAGTGTGGCGGTTTCTCAGAAAATTTGGGATCAACCTACCCATGGACCCAGCAATACCACTCTTGGGAATATACCCAAGAGAGGCCTTATCATACAACAAAAATATATGCTCTACTATGTTCATAGCAGCATTGTTTGTAATAGCCAGAACCTGGAAACAACCTAGATGCCCTTCAATTGAAGAATGGATGAAGAAAGTATGGAATATATACATATTAGAGTACTACTCAGCAGTAAAAAACAAGGACTTCTTGAAGTTTGCAGGCAAATGGATGGAAATAGAAAACACTATCCTGAGTGAGGTAAGCCAGACCCAAAAAGAGGAACATGGGATGTACTCACTCATATTTGGTTTCTAGCCATAAATAAAGGACATTGAGCCTATAATTCGGGTTCTTAGAGAAGCTAAATAAGAAGGAGAACCCAAAGAAAAACATATAGGCATCCTCCTGAATATTAACCTTCATCAGGCGATGAAAGAAGACAGAGACAGAGACCCACATTGGAGCACCGGACTGAAATCTCAAGGTCCAAATCAGGAGCAGAAGAAGAGCGAACATGAGCAAGGAACTCAGGACCGCAAGGGGTGCACCCACACACTGAGACAATGGAGATGCTCTATTGGGAATTCACCAAGGCCAGCTGACCTGGGCCTGAAAAAGCCTGGGTTAAAACCGGTCTCACTGAACATAGCGGACAATGAGGACTACTGAGACATCAAGAACAATGGCAATGGGTTTTTGATCCTATTGCATGTATTGGCTTTGTGGGAGCCTAGGCTGTTTGGATGCTCACCTTATGAGACCTGGACGGAGGAGGGTTTTCCTTGGACTTCCCACGGGACGGAGAGCCCTGATTGCTCTTTGGGCTGGCGAGAGAGGGGGACTTGATTGGGGGAGAGGGAAAGGGGAGGCGGAGGTGGGGAAGTGACAGAAATATTTAATAAATAAATAAATAAAAACCTCTCCAGTCGCTCCACGGCACTGCCCTGGTCAAGATTGTTCTAAGTCAGAAGAAGACTGGAGAGGTGACTGAGCAGGGTGGCTCACACCCATCGGTGACTACAGTTCTGGGGAATCCAGGGCTCTCTTCTGACCTCCCTGGGTACTGGACACTCACACGACGCACAGGCTAAATACCCACACACATAAAATAAAATAAAGTAAGTCAACGAAGAAAAACAAATGCCTCCTTGATGTCATTAGTCGCTGGGGAAACGCAAATGACAGCCACATGAAACCCACCATACTTCACACCCTTGCAACCCAGAAGACGGGCAAGAGCCAGTGTTGGCAACAGACGGCCATGCCTGCTCATGTGTCGTTCCTTAAAAATGGAAAATGGTGTGGCCATTTTGGAAATAGTTTGGCAGGTCCCCCAAAAAGGTAAACAAGAGCTTTTCTGGAACCCAGCAGTATGCCCAAGAGAATTAAAAACCATACCCCAGAAACCTGTAAGAATGTTCAGTCAAGCCAGGCGGTAGCGGCACATGCCTATAATCCCAGCACTCGGGAGGCAGAGGCAGGCGGATCTCTGTGAGTCTATAAGAGCTAGTTCCAGGACAGGCTCCAAAGCCACAGAGAAACTGTCCTAAATAGTGAAATCATGCACAGGGGGGCTGAAGATGGAATTCATCAGCAAAGCCTTGGACCACCACAGCAAAGCCCTAGGTTCAACCTTCAATGTTAATTTTCTTAAAAGTTGGGAACTAGGGGCTGGAGAGATGGCTTCTCATTAAGGGCTAATACCTCCCAGCACCCACACTGTTGGTAACCCCAGCTCCAGGGAATCCGACACCCTCCTCTAGCTTCCCCACCCCCAACACACACTCACACAGACACATAAGTAACACACAGCGGGGAAAATGATTTGGGGCCAGGCATGATGGCCCCTTTCTTTAATCTCAGCACTCAGGAGGCAGAGGGGGATATCTGGGAGTCAGTCCAAGGCCACTCTGGTCTACACAGCAAATTTCAGGCCAGACAAGGCTATATAGAGAAACCCTGACTCAAAATAAATTTTTTAATGATTTTTTTTTAAGGTGCTGCCTCCAAAGTTGGCTTGGTAGTTAGCTGTGGATGTAGCTCGGTTGCTGGAGTTCTTGCCTAGTGCAGAAGCAGCCCTGGAAGTAAACCCCAGCAGTGTGCACATTGGACGAGGTGGCGCTTCCAGAAGAGAATAAAAGCAAGATGCAGTCGAGATCCAGCTTTTAAAAATAACTATGGGCAATTGGATAAATTTTTTTGTTTGTTTTTTGGTGGCCATGGTCGTGTGTGCCTGCAATCCCATCTTTCTGGGAGTCTGAGAGGGGAATTATTACTGAGTCCAGCTGGAACAACACAGTGAGACCCCATCTCAGAAAGAAAAAATGAAGTTTAGCTTAGGGGGAAAGACCTTTCCTAGTGTATGCCAATCTCCCTGGGCTTTATCCCAACACCACACACACACACACATGCACACACACACACACATACATGCACGCATGCACATACACACACACGCACACATACACACACATACACATACGCATGCACATACACACACATACACATGCACACACACGCACGCGCACACACACATACATGCACGCATGCACACACACATGCAAATGTTTTTCCATAATTTTATTTTCATGTGTGCAGTAGTTTAAGCAAAACTAAACAAAAGGATTCCATCCCTCAGCAGACTGTGTCTTATAAGACTAATGTTCATCTCTGTCTTGGTACAAGCATCCTACATATTTCATAAGTTGTCTTTTTGTTTTGTTTTTCGAGACAGGGTTTCTCTGTGTAGCCCTGGCTGTCCTGTAGCCCTTTATAGACCAGGCTGGACTCAAACTCAAACAGCAGAGATTCACGTGTCCCTGCTGGGACTAAAAGCCTGTCCCGCTTGCTACAGCTCCTGTTGTCTTACACATTTTGTACAGTAAGTGAGCGAATGGGCCCTGACATACTTTAACAAACATGGGCTTCGTCTCTAACATGGGCCTGCATTCTCTTGTCTGTAGTTTCCTCAGGGGTGGGAGTGGGGGTGGGGGTCCACATACAACAGCTAAAGCCCTGCCCTGTTCCCAGCACACACGAGTCTGCAAGAGTCAGGCAAAGTGGTCCACACCCTGAGTTCCAGCACTCACGAGGCAGAGACGGGTAGATCTCTGTGAGTCAGAGGCCAGCTTAACCTACATATCAAGTTCCAGGCTAGCCAGGGCTACAGATCGAGACATCTCAAAACAAAACAGAAAACAATGAGTCGATAAAAGCTGGAACAGTCATTACTGTTTCACCTTGTCGTTATGTTATATCTGGGATCTTCTACCTACTCATCACAAGTGTCAGAAATTCTTACCACCAGTCGGCAAGCGTAGATATGGGTGATTGTTTTAAAAAATCGACACTTGTAGGCTGGGCATGCTGACAAATGCCTTTAGACACCCCCCGCCCATGTGTATGTACTTATTTTATTACACAATTTTTATATGAATGTTTGCTTGCATGTATGTCTGTGCACCACTGGTGTGCATTACCCGTGGTGACCAGAAGAGGGCACTGGATTCTAGAACTGGAGATCAAAGGTTTGGAGCAGCTACTTGAGTGCTGGGAAATGAACCCCCACTGCTCTGGGAAAGTGTCCAGTCTCTTTAGCCCCTGAGTCATCTCTCTAGCCCCAACTACTAGACAATTTTATTTTATTTTATTTTATTTTTAGATTTATTTATTGTGTATACAACGTTCCTACTGTCTGTGTATTTCCATGCCAGAGAGGGCACCAGATCTCATTACAGATGGTTGAGAGCCATCATGTGGTTGCTGGGAATTGAACTCAGGACCTCAGGAAGAGCAGTCAGTGCTCTTAACCTCTGAGCCATCTCTCCAGCCCCTACTAGACAATTTTAAAAAGGTATTTTCAGATGCTGGAGAGATGGCTCGGTGGTTAAGAGCACTGGCTGCTCTTCCAGAGGTCCTGAGTTCAATTCCTAGCAACCACATGGTGGCTCACAACCATCTGTAATGAGATCTGGCACCCTCTTCTGGTGTGCGGGCATACATGGAGGCAGAATGTTGTATATATAATAAATAAATCTTTTTTTTAAAAAAGGTATTTAAAATTAAAATACTAAGGCCCTTAATGATGATGTACCTTAAGACATTGCTAATATTAAAAAACAGACTCAAGTGCTTGCTTCGGCAGCACATATACTAAAATTGGAACGATACAGAGATGATTAGCATGGCCCTGCGCAAGGATGGCATGCAAATTCATGAAGCACTCCATATTTCTAATGTAACCCTTGTATGATTGTGATAGAACTTTGTCTAGATTTTAAAAATGGACTCAAGATACTTGCTATCACATCTGGATTGTAAACTACTAACTGAATAGTGAGACATCACTCATTTCAAATGTATTAACTGGCAGCAATTAATACAAAAATTAGTGAAAAACATAGATTATAAGGGAATCTTAAGAATAAAAATGAGATTAATTTATTATAATAGTATTGACAATTCTGTTTGAACTCGACACCAGCAGGACCACAAAATCTATAGGATCTGGCTGATAAAATCTTCAGGTTGGCTAACTCTAGTTCTTTTAATGTACAGTCGCCTCTTAGTTCATGAGTCCTGTAACTGGTTCCCTAACGTGAGGCAGCCTGTGTTGGATGATCTCAGTTGTCCACTTGACACACATGGAAAGAAGGACTCTCAGCTAAGAAACTGACTCATCAGATTGGCTTGCGGGCATGTCTGTGGAGCTTGTTCTTGGTTGCAGGTTGATGTAGGAGGGCCCAGCCCACTGTGGGCAGCAGCATCCTTAGGCAGGTGAGCCTAGGCTGTGTTAGCATGGCAGCTAACGTGAGCCTGGGAGCAAACCAGTAAGCAGCATTCTTCCGTGGTTTCTGGTGCTGTCTCAGCTTCAGATTCCTGTAACCAGTGAGATTAAACAATCCATTTCCTCTCCAAGTTGTTTTTTATCAGAATGGTAAATCACAGCAACACAGCAGGAGCTAACCAGAACACAGGCTCACATACTAACCGGAACACAGGCTCACATAATAACCAGAACACAGGCTCACATACTAACTAGAACACAGGCTCATATACTAACTGGAACACAGGCTCACATACTAACTGGAACACAGGCTCACATACTAACTAGAACACAGGCTCATATACTAACTGGAACACAGGCTCACATACTAACTGGAACACAGGCTCACACACTAACCAGAACACAGACTCACACACTAACCAGAACACAAGCTCACATACTAATCAGAACACAGGCTCACATACTAACCAGAACACAGGCTCATATACTAACCGGAACACAGGCTCACATACTAACTAGAACACAGGCTCATATACTAACCGGAACACAGGCTCACATACTAACTAGAACACAGGCTCACATACTAACCAGAACACAGGCTCACATACTAACCGGAACACAGGCTCACATACTAACTGGAACACAGGCCCACACACTAACCAGAACACAGACTCACACACTAACCAGAACACAAGCTCACATACTAATCAGAACACAGGCTCACATACTAACCAGAACACAGGCTCATATACTAACCGGAACACAGGCTCACATACTAACTAGAACACAGGCTCATATACTAACCGGAACACAGGCTCACATACTAACTAGAACACAGGCTCACATACTAACCAGAACACAGGCTCACATACTAACCGGAACACAGGCTCACATACTAACTGGAACACAGGCCCACATACTAACTAGAACACAAGCTCACATACTAACCAGAACACAGGCTCACATACTAACCAGAACACAGGCTCACATACTAACCAGAACACAGGTTCATATAACAAACTGGAACACAGGCTCACATACTAACCAAAACACAGGCTCACATACTAACTGGTACACAGGCTCATATAACTAACCGGAACATGCGTTCACATACTAACTAGAACACAGGCTCACATACTAACCAGAACACAGGCTCACATACTAACCGGAACACAGGCTCACATACTAACTGGAACACAGGCTCACATAGAACACAGGCTCACATACTAACTAGAACACAGGCTCACATACTAACCAGAACACAGGTTCACATACTAACCAGAACACAGGCTCATATAACAAACTGGAACACAGGCTCACATACTAACCAGAACACAGGCTCACATAACTAACTGGTACACAGGCTCATATAACTAACCGGAACATGCGTTCACATACTAACTAGAACACAGGCTCACATACTAACTGGAACACAGGCTCATATACTAACCGGTACACAGGCTCACATACTAACCAGAACACAGGCTCACATAACTAATTGGAACACAGGCTCATATAACTAACCTGAACACGGGCTCACATACTAACTAGAACACAGGCTCACATACTTAGATGGAAAGTGCCAACTTTACACACAGTAAGCCATTGCTCTCCACTGGTTATGGTGTCTGTGAGGCGAGCCCTTCTGTTTTGGCAACTGGGATGCGATAGTCTAGATAATGTGGCAAGGCAGACTTTACCTAAATCACTCGTGTTTTCATCTGTGTTGATTTACTGTAAGACATTATGAGTTATTTGGGATGATAATTTGTATTTCTAGTGCTAGAATTAGGATGGAATCTTTTAGGGGTTTTGTCTTTTCCAATGTTAATATCTCTTGCAATTATATAGCATGCCACACACAAAAAAAAAATGAAAGGAAACTTTAAGAAGTTTGTCAGTACGTGCAGTAGGATCAAAAACCCATTGCCATTGTTCTTGAGTTCTCAGTAGTCCTCACTGTCCGCTATGTTCAGCGAGTCCGGTTTTATCCCAGGCTTTTTCAGACCCAGGCCAGCTGGCCTTGGTGAGTTCCTGATAGAACATCCCCATTGTCTCAATGTGTGCGTGCTCTCTCTCCTTCTGCTCCTGATTTGTACTGGCTTTGTGGGAGCCTAGGTAGTTTGGATGCTCACCTTACTAGACCTGAATGGAAGTGGGTGGTCCTTGGACTTCCCACAGGGCAGGGAACCCTGATTGCTCTTTGGGCTGATGAGGGAAGGGGACTTGATTGGGGAAGGGGGAGGGAAATGGGAGGTGGTGGCGGGGAAGAGACAGAAATCTTTAATTAATAAATAAATAAATAAATAAATAAATAAATAAATAAATAAATAAATAAAGTTTAAGTCAGCCAGAGGTTGGTGGCTCTCAGGAGGCAGAGACAGGCTGAGCTCTGTGAGTTTGAGGCCAGCCTGGTCTACAAAGTGAGTTCCAGGGCCATTACACAGAGAAACCCTTTCTAAAAAAAAAGGGAGTCAGTGGTTAAGAGCACTGACTGCTCTTCCAGAGGACCCAGGTTCAATTTACAGCACCCACATGGCAGCTTGCAATTGTCTGTAACTCCAGTTGCAGGCGATCTGACACCTTCACGCAGACATACATGCAGGCAAAATACCAATGCCCATAGAATAAAAAAATAAAAATAAAGCGCTTAAAAAACAAAAAAAAGTATAAATCAAAATAACAAGATAACCAGTTAAAAGCTACTGAAAATTTGTTTCAGTGAAAATATTTACATGTTAAGAAGTAAAGCCCAAAACTGAATTTGAATAGTAGTAGATTTAATGCAAATAAAATGGCTAAAAGTTTCAAACACTGTTAGCAGCCGTTTTGCCCACTGTAACTCTCCATGACACCCACAGATGATCCTACAAAAGTACTGTGTTTGAGTGCAAACCTTTTTACCTTCATGGAAGGCAACACGTACTGCATGGCTCTGGATTGAGGCAATGGTTACATGGGGATAGGAAGACTGTACCCAAGGCCAAAGCACGGGCCCCACGATCCTCAGAGAAGAGCTTCGTCAGCAGGTACCCGGCTAGTGCGGCTTTGCAAAGGAAGTCCAGAGAGGACAGGACGATAAATCCTCTCTAAGGCATGAATGGGCAGCACAGGACACCACAGTGCAGCGTGTCCCCCCAGCCACCACTTCAGGAGACGGGCAGGTCTGAGGAGAGATAAGTAACTTTGAGGTGCATTCTGCTAGGCTGGGGCCATTTGTGTCTCCACCGGTTCTAGATCAGCTTGAGTCAGTGTCCCGCTCGCTCTTAGAGTGCCCACCAAAGAGGGAGGATGAGCAGAGAGACCAGGAAATCTATGTGTTCACGCCCTAACTGTCCCCTTCACCTCACCCTATGTGACAGAGAACAGAAAACAGAAATAAAAGGAATTTACAGGGTTAGACATCACCCAGCAGGCAGTGCCTGCAGAGACCAGAAGAGGTTGTCAGCTCCACTGGGGCTGGAGTTCCAGAAGGTAGTAAGCCATTGTGTGGGTGATGGGAATCGAACCTGGGTCCCATGGAAGATCCATCAGTGCTGTTAACTGCAGAGCGCTCAAAACTCGAATTCACAGAGATCAGCCTGCCTCTGCCTCCTGTATTGGGATTACAGGTGCGGGCCACCACGCCTAGCCTCTAGAGTGATTCTGTAATGTTTGACTTGGTATACATGCAATTTTTGTGTACAGACACACAAGCATGTTCTGAAGATGAGCGTTGGCCTTTGGATTTCTGCTACATGTTAGTATCTCTGCTAATCCAGGTGCCACCTGTTCTTTGTGACACTAGAGAAGGTCAGTGAGCACCATCCTCATACCCTCCCAGAGACCAGGGGAATGTCAGGCAGGCCCCTCCTCTTTCTCCTCTTCTCCTGTTGCTTTTCCCCTAACCATTTAGAATTCTTTTTTACTTTCCAGCAAATGCCAGTCTAAAGGAAGAAGATGAAGAGGAAGAAAAAGCAAGCAAGGAAGAACAGGAAAGAGAGAGAGTGGAGAGAAAGGCAGTCAGGTCCTAGGAAGTCTTAACACTCCTCAACCAGCGGGTCAGTCAGCTGTCACCCTGAGTGGCACCACCACCTGCGTGTGTCGTCAGACGGTACCGTTCCGTCCGCGCTCTGCCACTGCACCAGGAGCTGCCCACGTCGAGTCCCTGTTCCTGAACAAGTCCTCTGACCTTTCAGGGGTCACTACGAAGTGTCACGGTTTTCACAAAAGCACTCACCTCCTCTGGATTCTCAAAGAACAGCCAGCCTCTGTGGCGTCAATGAGGACTTGAAAGAAGTAACAGAAGTTGCCTGGCGTGCTGGCGTGCATGCGTGCGTGCGTGTGTGTGTGTGTGTGTGTGTGTGTGTGTGTGTGTGTGTGTGTGTGTGTGTGTGTAGGCCAGAGGTAACATCAACTGTCTTTCCCAATCACTTTTTTGAGTCAGGGTCTTGCACTGAATCTTGAGC